AATGATATGGTCATTAGAGCTTTCCTTAACAGCAGCTACATTGTTATTAACCGATTTGCCATTTATAATTTGAGGCGGTTCTTCATCTCTTATGGGTAACGAATCATCGAATGATATACCGTTATCATATTCTATCATTACTTCATTAGCCTCATCTATCGGGGCGATATCATTATCTTCAGACAACTGCGTGGGAAGACTATTTCCAATTTCTGATATAGTGTTGTGGTGGTTTTGGAGAGGAGGTTGTGTTAATACAGTGTTCTTTTTATTCTTATTATTTGTCATGATTATGAATATACTATTTTCATTGGGATTGAGACCCGCTTCCTTTTGAGTTGCATTTGCTGGTACAATTTCAATCGAGGGGTAAGGCAAATATGTTAAATTTTGATTTATACTGTATGAAGATGATGGCAATTCATAAAAATCGGGCAAATTGGGCTTAACTAAGGACGAAGTCTGCTGAGTAGAAGGTATAAGTGTGGTGGTGGCCGTTATAGTAACGGGTTCAAGTGTTTTCACTGAAGTTACGGTATCTAAGATAGTATTGATTTCAGTATGTGTTAAAATTAAAGTGCTTACTTCGGTAGTTGTTTCTGTGGTAGATGGTAGAAGATATGTGGTTGGTTGTTGATTGATCACAGGTTGGGCTCGGGTTGCTGTGGTTGTTACTGTATATATATGTTTGTTCGTTATATATTTGGTGGGTAATATTATACGTTTTATTGTTGTTGTGGTTGTTGTAGTATATGTTAATATAGAGGCGATTAACGGCGACGTTGTTGATGTGGTTTTAATTTTTTCTTTGTAGGTTTCGGATGGCAGTAAATGTACAAATTTAAAACTCTCATTAGATTTTCGACTATCATTTTCAAAATAGCTTGTCAAATTATCGTTATCTGTAGACACCTTTAAATTTGTCTGATTCTGTAGTTTAAGTTTAACATTATTATTGCCTTCATTCATTGTTATATTATATTCGTTAAGTTTGATTTTGTTTGGAACCATTGAAATTTCCTTCTTGTTTTCGGTGGTAAATTCAGAAGTAATGTTGTTATCATTAGACGGCTGCGGCGTTATGTTGCCAGATTTACTTGGTAGTCGCATTCTTGTCACTTCAAGTGTTGTCGGATTTATTTTTTTGTTTTTAGTATGAGTCGATGTTGTTGGAGATGTTGTATAAGGAGGTGGCTGTAGTCCTGTTTCTGTAGTAGCAGTGATTGTTTTCGTTGTTGTTGAGACTGTAGTATTTGCTATCGTTTGATCAAATATTTTGAGGGGATTTGTCGTTAATTGCTTATGTGCTGTATACTGGCTTTCACGAGTTAAAAAAATTTCTTTAGGATTTAAATATGTTTCAATGTCAGAAATTTCTTTGATTCGTGTTAATTCCGGTTTAGAGGTAGTAGTAGTGGTGTATATATTATTAATTAAATTGTGTCTATTTGTTTGCTTCCTAAAGGCTTCACCAGGTGCTACAAAAATGGATTCGATTTTTGATTGGTTTTGCCTATTATTATCATCCAGCTGGTAATTTGTGGGTTTCCTAAATGGTTCGCCTTGGTTTAATATCTGTGTAGCCTGAAGCGTGTCATTTTCATTTTTTTCGGAATTCATAATCTCATTAATTTCTTCGGCCTTTGGTTCAGCTGAAAACTTTTGTGAACCCTTTGTTGTTGGCGTGGATGTAGTTCTATTTGACTTTATGTCGAACGGTTGTGACTTTGGTATGGAAACTCTTGGTTTAATTCTTGTAAATACAACATCATTTGTAGGTCCATGTTGGGCTTTAGTTGAAAAATTGTGCTTGGCTTCCTTTTCCCGGTTGTTACCTTCTGAAAGTATCCATTGCGAGTTATTAAATTTAATATAATCTTGCGGTTGAGTTTGGGAGACAACTGTGGCTAATGCAGCAGGTGGTAATGTTTGTGGCGAATTCCTTAAGTCTATGGGAACTTGAACTAGGGGGTGGGTAGTTGTTTTAGGAATTATGTGGGCGTCTGCTAATATTTTTGAAGTCTGGTGTAAACGGTTTGGTTTCAGTGTTGATTTTAAATGACGCCTAGTTGTGTCATTCGGTCTAATAGAAGGTGCTGGCATTGGTTTATTGTTATGTGGATTTGTAGTTGGTTTATATTTCAAATTAGCAGAGGCTTCTTGATTTGATTTAACACTTAAAATATTGCTTGAGGCAAATCCTTTCTGATCATGTATTACTTGATCATTAGTCGTTAACATTTTGAAATTGTCCTTTAGTAAGGAAATTTTTCTAACTACATTGTTATTGTCATTTCCAGCAGCTTCCACGTGGTTCCAAGATGGTTCATTTTTTGTATTACAATCGGTGATGTAAAGGCGCCAATCGTATTTAATGGTGTTAAACTAACTTGTACTTGTTGCTCATTCGCAGGTATTGTTATCAATGGCATATATTTATATGTAGGTTTTTCTTGGATTTTCATTTCTTTAACCGAAGCTGGTGGTATTTGACCTTTTACAGCTGTGCCAGCCAGTTGTGGATAATCAAGATCATCTCGATTGAATGTCAACGGTGGTACATTTACATCTACTGTTTGACTAAAAATGTGTTGATCCAAACTAACTTTTTGATGATTTTTCGTCAGAGACTCATTTGTATATGAAACATTTGGTTTTGGGCTAGGAGAACGATTGTAAGGTAAACTTCCCTTGGTTGTGGGAATATGAGAATCTCGACTATTTTGTTGTTTATTTTCTAAAGTGGCCTGTTGAGGATGCATAAGCAATGAAATTGGTTTTTCCTGTTTTATATGCGATGAAGAAAATTTATCTTTCATTTGAGATTCACGTTCTTGCTCTAAATTCCAAATAACTGAAGAACTTATTAATGGTTTTTCGAAAGTAAAATGTGCTCCTTGATCTTTATTACTGTGAGAAGTTGAATATTGGACCGGTTTTTCGTGTTTTATATTATGCCGTTCGGATTGTGAATTCCAAATTAGAGAAGAACTTAATATGGGATTTTCTGGTTTCGATTTCTTGTCTATAATTGCAAAATTTGTCCTTTGATCTTTTTTATGTTCATGAGACGAGAGAGCTGCTACAGTTTTTGTTTGAGTTTCTTGGTCATTTTGCCAATTTGAGCCTACTAATAAACTTGAGAAATTTTCCGGTTGCAATCTGAAATAAGTTGAAGAAGTTTGTGCACCTCTATTTGCCTGCCAGTTTAAATTCAAAGCAGAATTTTGATAGTTTTCTATAGATGATGGATTTTTTTCAAAATGCTCAAAGCTTTTTTTCGGTTTTCCACTGACATTCGTCGTTAATTTAACTAAATTTGCATTAGGCAGCGTACTTGGTTTTAAATCTGCGCTAAATACTTGTGGTATTTGTTGAATTTCTAATATTTCATTATTTTTTAAATCATTATTAAAGCGATAGTAATGTTGTGATCCTCTAATAGTCGTTGCTGGAAAGTTCTGAGGTGAAAGATCCGTTATTTTGTAACTAGAGGAGGAAGGCAATAAATGTGAATGCAAGGTAGAAGTTGATTCAGTAGGAAAATGTGAGCTGGTAGACACTTGTTGTTTATTTCGGGTCTTAGATTTATCTGGAGCTGTTAACATAAGAGATAAGCCAGGCTGAGTATGAAGTGGTATGGATGATTGATGTGTGGGCATAGGTGGTGGAGGTGGCTTGAGTATATTTTTGTTAAAATGTTGTTCGTTTGGAGGCCTCAAACCAAAAGTTGTCTGTTGATTTAGTTTATTTCCATTTACGTTACTAATTCCATTACCTATAGGTATATGATGAGGTCTATGATTAAGTGAAGATGGACTTTTTTTATATGGATGTTGAATTTTATTGTGATAATAAGTCACTTGGAATTGTCGATTATCCAGTGTATAGGCTTTGGAGGTATTTTTATCGTTGTGCAAATTATTGGGAACTTGGACATATTCAATGCCATTTGGCTTACCAACTATAACATCAGAATTAGCCGTTATAATTTCTCCAGGACGTATATATATACCACCATTATGTAAAGGTTGTTCCTGACGAGGAGCTGTTAATGTTGCTAAAGGTATTATGTTTGTATGTTTATCTTCATCATTTAAATTATAATGACTTTCATCTTCATCATCAGTTAGCAACAGAGGCGGTTTAATATGCAAACTTTGTGGTATAAATTCGCTGTAATTAGAAATGTCTTTGATGTGGTTTTTTATTGGTAATTTTTGGACCGGTATATATATGTGTTGATGTGTTGTATCCACCGTTGAATTTATTTTTTTGTTTGCAGATTGTTTACTTTCGATATTTTTAATAGGCTTAATACTTTCCCGATTTGTACCGAAATTATTTTGTAAAATGTCCGCCATTGCATTGAACATTGGTTTTAACGCAGTTAATCTTTGTATCAGTTGATTGGCGGCGGATGTTGTTTGGTCTCCTCCACCATTCAGAGATGAGGATATTTTAACATTTGTGGGTACAATTGTTTGATTACTAGGGGCCTTAACAATTGACAAGATTTGTTCTGAAGGTAAGGAAGCGATGACATTGCTTTCTTCAGCAAGATTTTCCTGATTTTCTGGGTGTTTAACATTTTCGACTAGTGATGGCGACTCCCCTAATTGAAATTCTTCATTAACATCAATGTCACTCTGCGACTGGGTTTGATGTTGTTCCACTGCTACATCAGTGTGTAGTACGGATTCATGATTCAATGTATTCATAAATGATAATGTTGGTGTAGCAGATGGTAAATTACTCTTGTACATTTCCATTGCCGAAATTCTTAAAGTTTGACCATCTTTTAATGTGGCTGTGGTGACAATAATACGATGTCGTTGTTGATTATATTTTTGCCGCTTTAGTTCCATTTTCATTTTCGCCAACAGTTCACTGTTTAAAAGAGTGGCGGGTACACTGTCCGTTATAACATTTTCTATAACACGGGTATAGTAGTTAAATACTGTTGACATGGGTCTAATGCTTACATCCGTTTGGCTAGTTCCCGTTTTAACATAACTATTCAATACCGTTGTTGTATAGTATGTAAACGTAGTTAAAAAAGTTTTAGTAGCATATATGTGTATATCGTTCAGTATTTTCGTCTGATCTATATGATGATCCTCATGTTCATTTTCTTCAGTTGGCAGTAAAGTATCATAGGTTGATAAATTTGAATTCGTATTAAATTTATCGCCAGAATCATCATCATAGGCATAATATGATGTCAGCACTGAAGTACTTTGAGATGGCATATACGATTTCGTTACGACCACTTGAGTTAGATTTCTTTTAACTGTTCGCATTTTGGATTTGTACTTTTCACTGAGAGTGACAGTTACTTCATTGAAGTAGGTATTTGTTTTCAGATTAGAAGTAGCTTTAGTTGTAGGCTGCAAGTAGGCTAGATAATCATGCGGACCAGTTATTGTGTTAACAACAGTGTGCTCGCTAGTCATCACTTGCAAATTATTATTGTTGTCTTGAAAGGTGTTAAAATATGAGTAAGTAGTTGGGAAAATTCCGACTGCTAATTCTGGCGTCTTTTTTATAAATACAAAGAAAAAATAAATAAAAAAATAAATTAATGGGTTTCATATTTTATAACATATTTGTAAACATAACATACATACAAAATACGCAAATGCATTTTTTATGGAGCTTCGTGTGGACTCATGGACAAGATACCGTGAATCAAGAAATTTTAGGCACACCATGGTTTTCAAGATTAATCTGTAAATAACACCGTTTCTTTTCAATCTAATAAAATATGATACCGTTTCATAAGTTGGTCGCTTTATTGATCATCAACACAAATACATATATTTCATATTTATTATTTGCAACAAATTATGCTAAAAAAAACTGAATAATCAACATAAAGCCATCTAAAAAAAAACTTTGAGCACAAAAGAGATAAGTTTTGACTTGTATACATTTAATATTTGGCAGGGCATCCATTAGCCTGAGTAATTGCTTCTAAGCGGCGAGGCATACTTCTTACTGGGATACATGTCTTACACGGTGCACTATGGTTACAAATCGATTTTTTTTTTGGCATAAATTAAAATAATCATGCCAGAGCTTTTAATTTCTGTATATTTAATTGTAACGCCCACTAAATGGAAGTATCTTAACTGAAATTATTAATTTCATTGTACTCAAAATAAAACTTTACTAATAAAATGACTGCATAGACCTGGTCCACACTAGTAAACTATTGCTAAGAAACTTTTTCTTAATTCTCTTTTGAAGTTTCCTTAATGTCCACACATAGAAACTTTTGTTTCAGAAACTACGTATTAATTGCATTGATTTGTTGTTGTACGGCGAGAAGAATAACTGCCGGTCCACACTATGAAACTTTTTTTGGGAAATTTTTGATTTTGCGTGAGAGAGAAAGAGAAAGAATATCATTCATCTCTCTCGCAGTACGGAGTTTCAGTACTCGGAAACTTGTTTACAACAAATCAATGCAATTAATACGTAGTTTCTGAAACAAAAGTTTCTATGTGTGGACATTAAGGAAACTTCGAAAGAGAATTAAGAAAAAGTTTCTCAACAAAAGTTTCCTAGTGTGGACCAGGTCTAACAAAACAAAACAAGTTTCCGAGTACGAGAAACTCCGTACCGCGAGAGAGATGACTGATATTCTTTCTCTCTCACGCAAAATCAAAAATTTCCCAAAAAGAGTTTCCTAGTGTGGACCGGCAGATACTAAAAAGTATGCTAACTGTCAAATTGATATTATGGATTTTGACAGACAGCGTATATTAAAGTTCATAAATAAAAAACTATCAGCTGTGCTCTCTCATTCACCTACATAAATTCGGCTTTCTCAAAATTTTGTTGTTATATTTCTGTGTGGATTTTAAAAAAGTTGCTTACTGCCGGTCAACACAAGGAAACTTTTTTTTGGGAAACTTTTGATTTTGCGTGAGAGAGAAAGAGAAAGAATATCATTCATCTCTCTCGCGGTACGGAGTTTCTTGTACTCACTCTATTTCAGAATTCTTCCGAGTTTTGGATATGAAATTTTACGAATTCTAGTCTCTTTTTTTGTTTTTGTCAGAAAGAAATGGCTTACGGCGGGACCTCTTCCACGTTTTCTTTAAAACTTTGTTTAATTTGTTCGCACAATTTCACAGCGGAAATCTGTTACAATAAGTAAGCGACCACATCTGCTTTCAAAATCTAAATATTTAGTTTTTTAATAGTGCTTAATAATATTTCTTAAACTGGTATAAAGCCTCTGTACGATGGCACCAAATAATAACAATAATTTTACGGAGATCTAAGGAAATTTCAGAACGGCTGTTTTTGCTAGAATTTAATATAAACAAGTTAGAGTGCTATATTCGGCTGAACCGAATCTTAAATACACTCCACCCGCTAAATTTATATTAATACTCTTTTAATTGATCAAATATTTATAGAAATAAGTTTTCTCATGCCTTAAATAGAAAAACCCCAAGATTTAAACAGCTTAAATCTGTATTACAA